GTACTCTTTTAGCACAGCGACAGACTGACCGCAAATTAAGCAGACCGCCTTAGAATTAATATCCATAAAAAATATTCTTCCTCCCAGGTTCGTTTAAAATGCCTTTTGTCTGTGTGCCACTGTCTACTGCTCTCCATGTTGCTTGCTACTGCTCCGTTCTTCGTGTTGTTGTTGTTGTTGTTGTTCTTCTTCTTCTTCTTCTTCTCCTTGTTTTATTGGCGGGTTGCGAGCTGAGCTGGGAGCTGCTTGACCTGACAACTGGGGTGGCATAATAAATTGTGGGGGGGGCAAGAAATGTCCCCATGGGCCAAAACAAATGTTCCGCGGGCCAAGCCCCACTTTGGGCCCCACTGTTCTAACAGTTTTACAATGCCTACCTTGGTTTTTAGATTTCGTGCCTTCTAGACAGCTTCTGTCTTTTAGAACCAGACACTTGTAATATCATGAGCAACAAAAAAAGAATAGACTGTCTTCAATCTGACATAAAGCATTAAACCTACAGCTACATCAGTCATCTTTGGCCTCTGGTTAAAACCTTCAATTCTGTTTGTAATTTAGCTTTTATACAAAACAAAGTTACCATTCATTTTACCATGGTGACAGCTGGTTGAATACTTGGTAAAGCATTTACATGTCAAATAAAATTCAGTTTGAGGTTAATGGGCTACTGCTGGTTGGCAAAATAATTAGTGTTATTGTCCACACAAAACTACTGTTATACTCATACATAGATCACAACTACCCAGAGGTATGCAAAGTCTCTGGACACACAGTGCTGGTGAAGAGTGCAGTGTCATAACTGCAGATGACATTTATATTGTTATGTAACAGACTGAATTTAAGAAACTTGCTACTTCAACTGTAGTTTTACACACACTGCCCAAAAACAACGGTACCTTTTCAAACAATCTACCAACACACATTATATGAAATAATACAAAGTGCTGTAAAACAGCACTGTGGAGCACTGTTTGTTGACATGATAAAGGCTTCTCGTACCTTTAACCACTATATTATATTAAACAAATGTCTCTGATTCAGTAATCACACTCATCTGGTTTCACACAGTCTGATAGAACCCAGGTGCACTGCACTAAGAGTCTCAAGCCAACTTCCTTTTTTAAAAACCCAGGGTGTGCCACAAGGCCCTGTGCTTGGTCCTTTATTATCTACAATCTACATAAACACTGTTACTCCATCACAGACTTGTGCCCATTTTTATGCAGATTATATGTCACTTCTCCAACTCAAGCCATGTCAAGATTAGTCTGGCTTAAACATTATTCTGACACCTCTGTAAAATCTCAGACTTGTACTGAACAGTGTTTGAATGCTATTTAATGTTTGATCTCAGCGAGACTACCGGATTAACTAAAGATGAACATAAGTAAATTATCTACCCATGCACAAGGAGTCATTCTTTGGCAGACATCATCTTACCTCTGTTAGCTTCCTGGTATACCTGCACCTTACCAAGCTCCACCCCTAACCGCCTGACAGAGAGAAGGACAAGGACAGCTTTAGGTTAGCATTTCAAAGTACAAACATATCCTTTAAAAACATTGGGCCTCATTCACTAATGTGTGTGTAGAAACGTTCTTACCTTGCACATAAAATAAATGCCCATGCTGAATTACTGACAGATTCATGACAGATGCATACTGGCTAATTTTGTTCTTACCACCATTCGTATGTTAATAGATCAGAATCATTCTAAACTGACAGTGCCTGTGGCTTCCAATTAGCATAGGCCTACTACCATTTCCCCATTTCTCTATATAAGTAAATATGTTTGCCTAGAGGTATTTTGTGGAGGAAGAGGTGAAGATACAGGAGAGAAGCAGGACAGGATCCAAACCTGATACCCCAAGGAAATTATCAGGTTAGAGCTGTGCCATTTCAGGGAATTGCATAGCTGCAGCAAAAGCTTTTGGGAACAGCTAATAAGCCATTTTTCACTCTGTTCAAACACATTAAGTCGGCCTCTGAAGATCTGCAGGAATGGTCTTCAATATCTTCCAGCAAGGCTCCATTTGCCATCTTAGCGCATGCTTGGAGATAAATTGGAATCGTTTATATATCCAGTATAACTTTTAATAGAGTGCAAATTAGCTAGGTGGCTACAACTACAACTGGTTACAAATACATAATTTTATGACACTAGAAACTGTTAGCAGTCGATCATTAGGGGCCAACTCAATAAAAACACTCTCTACCATCGTATACTTGTAAGCTAGAAATGGGAATAGTTGAAAGTGGTTTTGGTTAAAACAAATGTTTACATTTTTAAGACAGTTGGACTATCATCATTTGTTGGTATGTACGGTCTGAGCCAATTCTAGATTTGTGCATAAATTGTTTCACATGCACTGTTTACATTTCACTGTTGCAGAAGCAGCTTCCTCAGATTACAACAAATGAGGCAGAACTGATCCTGAAGGACTCGTATGGGATGTTTACTGTTAGAATAACCAGTTTTGCTTGCTGGCGCATGTTTTTAATACCATCAATGTGTCCAGTACTTACTCTGCAATCCTCTTGCCCAGCTCACGGCTGGAGGGGTGTGAGTTGGCAGTGAAAATGACCAGGCCACCTTTGGTGTGGTTCATGTCTCTGTCTTGGCCGCTGCACTCCCCACACTCAGGCAGTGGATCCCTGGGCACCCAGGCTGAGCTGAGACCTTCCTGCAGTGCAGAAGGAGGAGCAATTACTTCCTTTGTCAAATCTCAAAACTCAAGTGAAAGAGAAACAGGAAACATATTTTGGTTAGTCCTTAAAGCCATACATTAAGCCACTGAACAGACTTTGTCCATAAAAGCATTTCATCAGAATGCCATAATTAATATTATAATATTAATATTTTCCCTCAGAATACACAATCATTTTAATCTATATTTTTATTTAGACTGATGTTTATCCATGGGAGGGACTGAGAATGTAATGCCTCACACCTGAAGATTTTGGGAAAATGTAGTAGGTAGTTTCACTATTTTCTGGTATTGTATAGATGGAAAAAATGATCAACTAATGAAAAAAACAACTAGCAAATTAATCCATAACGGAAATAATATATAGCTGCATCCCTAGTGAAACCATCATACAATTATTAACAAGTTCTTACTGTGAAGGCCCACAAATCTTTGCAGCTTCCTTAATATTTCACAAATCTTAATCTTACACTGCTTTTTGTATAATTTTACAAATGTGTCATTTTATTTGTTTGTCGCCCGAGGTTTTATTATGTGCCTCTATTTTTACCCTGCTTTGAAATGTAATGCGTGAGGCCGTTTGCACATACACTTAGGGAAGTTGGCTGAACAATGGAGCAAAGACTGGGCTACTGATGTGATATGCAACAACAATATTTACGACTTACAATAACCGTATGGGTAATCATTAGATTAAAATTATCTCAGTACTGCGGATTTTCTTTAAAGGGGCCAAAGGCGTTTAACGAATTAACACGTGTATTAAATCCGTCATCCTATCAACACAGTCATGACATTAGCTTCCTCGTGTTGCTAAGCTAACAGGACACAATAGGCTTTTGCCCTTATGAATGTGCAGCATGTTATTCCAGAATGCATGTGTTAGGTAGGTATGTGATAGTTAACCCGTGAGTTGAAATCGTGATTGTCGTTTTTATGATATAAAATCAGTTAGACTGGTGAAGTCAGCATTAACGTAAGCTAATGCTAACAGCAAACTGTATCTAACGTTCCGAGGCAAGTACTATCGCGATAGCCCGTAATAAATAATCTTGTTACTGAAAGTGCGAACTGACTTTTCATGAATCAGAAAGCAAGCCTCTCAGCAAATAAGGAGAAAAACATAAAGATTATTACATACAAATGCAGGACGACAAAAATCCTCACCAGCTTGTGTTTTAGTTCCGGTTACAACATGCAACCAACAATATTTGAGCGTACAAGCCTCCAGCTCTTTATAACCTGTTCCCATCACTCCGACTGTCTGCGATTATCCGTTTTGATGGACGTAAAGCTCGACCAATCACAAGCTAGGAAATGGTAAAGGCTGGTCTCAAGATGCATTCAAATAGCCTATGTAAAACCGTAAATAATTATATTCCCTAGAGAAGTCATTTATTATGATGTCCAATGTCGACTCTTAATTTTAAAATGCAAACAATATGTTTTCAACAAATTACAAACATACAGATTATGTATGTGTAGTTTCCCCTATCAGATGATCTGTGACCAAATCTAATTTCAAATTACCAACAATATCCGCTGTTACGTGTAGGTTTGCTAGTTTACTTACTTTCTGAAAACTATTAAACTCAACCTTCTGGTGTTTCAAAAAGTAAACAATAATGGAAAGCATTGCTCTGTCAGAGGTGTTTTCATTAGGTAATTGTTAATCTCTCAATGTGCTGGTTGTGGTAATATGCTTAACATCAAATTGCTATAACTCTACGTAGTCACACGTGGGTATTTTAGCAGTTGATTTATGTTTAAATGGGCACAAAATACATATTTACACATTTTCTCCGTGACTTAATCGTTTTAACAACTTGATGTAGATTTGATAAGACGATTTAAGAACCTTCCTGGGAGGTGTAAGCTTTGTGACTGACCACTTGAGGGCAGTGTGCTTTTGTTGACATTTTACACAACATCCCACATCCAGTTCTGCCCAAGAAGAAGTGAATTTTAACTTTCAAATGAACGTTTCATATGTTAGCCCAACAAGCTTTGCTATACTTTTGTATTTAACTACATACTAAAATATTCTAATCCCTCTTAAATAGATTCCACCATGCAGTATGGACGAGTCCCTGCAAAAAGAGATTGTTTCAGCTTGAAATGGGAAGAGATTTTCTTATACCACTATCATCCGTTAAACGGGGACCTGAGCAGCTTTTGTTCTGCTGCTTCTTAATTTTCTCCTTCTTTTGTTATCTCCTTTCAAAGATTCAAGTGGTCCTTCCTTGCATGTTCTATTGTTTACTTTACTTCAGACAGTGTCTTATTTCTTTATTTGTTTACTTAATTGCTTGATGAAATTGTGTTTGTGGGAATGCACAGAGGCACAAACCTCACTTTTTCTAAGCTTCAACACAGAGAAAGAGAGAGAGAGAGCTCGAACAGGCCTTTCTTTGACTGCAATAGATATGGCTAAGTGGCTCATGAATCTCCAGTTTCCTTTCTTGGACACATATTGAATCCTGTCTCAAACCCACAGTTCCTGCCTAACAATAATAGAAGAAAGACACAGAAAGAAAGAAGAAAGTTGGGGAAATGGGGTGGTGTGGAGCCTGTAAATGCTCAAACACAAAGCATTTAAATATCAAGCATTACTGTGTTAACATAGCTCTTGGGTAAGTGAGCTGCTCTTGCATGAACGGAGACAGATTTATAAATACTTTCTCAGTACCATATGGGCTACTCTTTAGTGTTCTTACATAACTCACTGGATATGTGTAGGAGGTAAAGAGCAGCATCCAAGCACTGCACACTGCCCACACACACACACACACACACAATGAAGAAGAGAGTGGAGTTAAAATCTGGAGGAGGATGGACAGAGAGAGAAGATATATTAGATGTTGCAGTTGGCAGTCAGGGTCAAATTCTCTGATATAAGCTCTTCTTTTTCTAATTGCGTTTATGACCACAGCACATGTGTGCACCTTTGTTGTAGGCTGTATAATGTATGTGGGTTTATGAAGAGATTTAAAACTTGAAGTTATATGTTTGATGTTTTAGAACAATATGCTGTTTCAGCATGATGAAAATAATTTGAGTAAAAAAACAGCACCCTTGTGTTTTTATGGCAAATATAAAGCCAGTTTAACTAAGCATAAGAAAACAGGAAGTAAAAACAAGCTTGGTTGCATTCACAGGTAAGGATCAATCCACTAGTGACTAGCAGTCTTTTTGCTAAGCTAATGCGTTGCTGCTAATAGCTTCAAATTTACAGTATAGTGACAGTGTTATGAGCTTCACAGCGAGCTCTTGGCATGAAAGAGAATCAATGTTTTACCAGAACAATTCCCCTAAATTACAGAAAAATTCAGAAACTTTATTTAAACTTAAAATCTGTAGCTAAACAGCTGTGGCATTGTGAAGAAAGGTGATAATAATTTTAAAAAGCACAACGAACGAGTCCAATTGTAACCAACTAAATCACCTGTAAATACAGTGTAGGCTATACTGGATGTTTAGATATCAACCATCAGGAATTTCACATCTCTCCTATTACAATTTTAATGTGAGTCTTCTAGTCATGCTTTCATCTGAACTGAAATATCCTAAAAGCTATTGGGTGGATTAAATTTTGTATGGAGATATATTGTCCCTTGAAGATGTATCCAAAGGACATTGGTGATAAAATAAATAAAGAAAAATTGAGTCTCTAAAGCACAGAAATCTACTGCTGATAACTAAGGTGGAGCCATTTTGCACAGTGCTCCCTGGAGTTCAGAGGGGTAAATACCCTTGTTTTTCACTGACTCTCTCTCTCTCTCTCTCTCTCTCTCTCTCTCTCTACATCAGCCACCAAGGCACATGACTACACATGCTTAATTATCAATTAAAACTTTAATTCACTAATAAAACAAAATATGACAATAACAGCCGTTTAAAATAAAATGGGACAACATCATAATGAACAGCAGCGCTCACATAATTCAAACACAATTTGAAAGAACTTATTCTATTATAGTGAGAAAGCATGATGTTAAAACAGCAGCCCCAAAATGGTTGTTGCCTACCTGTCGGTGCATGCTATCCAGCTGTGGCCATGGTCCCTGCAGCTGCACTGAAATACTTCTCAATAGCACCTAAAACACACACAACCGAATTCATCAAATATAAATAAATAAATCAGGGTCATGGGTGATCTATGTCACTTGTCTCTGAGATGCAATAGGGTAGTGCTAAATATCCTTATTCAAATATTGGCCTTTGGCATAGTGGTGCAATCTACACAGTTTGATAGATGTTATTTGAGATCATGTTGTCAACAATTAGATTTGGAGAGACAGTTAGCTAGCATGTTAAACAAAGCTGACTAAATCGAATATGATAGAAGTTCTAGCCTCTTAACATTATCCAAGCAAGAAGAATAGACAAATTCAAGTGCAGACCTACATTTCCACAAGGTATCAACACTGAATTGTACAGACTGCTCAGAGCCACAGTCCAATCTGCTCACAGGGAAACAAAACAACTCTAGGATTTCTTTTTACAAAACATACTGCATATTGATAAATAAGGCTCTGGGAGGGGGCCCAATTTTCTGATGAGACTTTATACAACGTGTTAGAGGGCCATATGTTTGTATAGAATCCTGAAATAATGTGTTAGTATTAGTAACTAATGCTTCACATCTAAATATCTTTAGGCATGTTCACATTATCATGGAAAACTAGGAACTTGCACAGTGCGTTCTGGTGGTGGTGGGTGCAGAAACACAAGTATAACCCCCTTGGACGCACTGTACAAAACAGCGCCACCTTAGCTATAATGCTAATGTTGCTTGTAGTAGATTTTTACGCTTTAGAAACACAAACTGTGTTTTTTAAGCAATATTGGTGCATTTTACTAGCTAAATAGGTTGTCTGTCATTATCTGGTCTGTGTATGAAAGTAGCCTAATAGGCTGTGCTAGTATATTGTACAGTGTGGGAAATTCAGAGACACAAATCATCCATCCAAGCACTGACAAACAGTAGCCTAAATGGCTGCGCGCAAAAATGGTGTGCGCAAGTAGAGGCAAAGAGGAACGAATCTAAACTCTCAGCTCATCCCCGCTTCGCCCTGCTGCACCGCACCACAATGGCGAGGTGCCTGCAAAAGCAAACTTTTTTCTCATCTGGTCTTGATATGAGCCCTGTTTGTCAGACATCAATGGGATTCAGTTTTCCTCCATATTTTAGTTCAGGCAGTGGTCAGTCAAAAGGGTGGTTCCACCTACAATGCTTAGCACCAAATTTGAACTTTCCACGCACCCCCGTTGCATGTTACGGACATCGCGCAAAGCCTGCGTAAGCGCATCACATACACAATAATGGCAAGGCACGCGCAAAAGCCGTTTTTCCGCGATATTGTGAACACAACATAATAGAAAAAAGAAAAGAGTTGATCACGATGTTTATTCACTTTCTCTGTGCCTTCCTTAGCAATAAATCCCTCCAGCTTCTCAGTAATGCAAAAAGAGAGCGCCATAGAAACGGAGCCAGAGAGAGATGAAAAGGGAGGTGGGAGAGAGCATGCGCTTCTGGTCCGCCCCCAAGTTACAGCACGAGCCATTTAGCGGTGCGAGCTGGGCCAGCTGTAGAGCGCGCGGGTGCGTGTGTGTGTGCCCCCCCAACCAACCCTACCCCCACGCACAGAAAATCATTACCAAATACAGAGCCTGAGCGCACGCGGAGCGATGGCTGCAGAGGCAGCACGCCTGGATTGTGTTTACGACGCAAAACCCGAGAGCGCCGTAACCCCGGGAAGAACGCACACCGTCCGCAATTCGTTTTTAAGCGCACAGTTATTTACACGCAGTGTCTACGAGTGAGCCCGTCTCCTTCCCCCAGAGACGATTCTGAACTGTCCTGCCTTCTTAATCGTTGATTTGGAGCGCAGCTGCAAGGGACACCGACCAGCCTCCCTCCGTTATCACAGATGAGAAGAGCGAGCAAACCCTGGAAACGTGATTTCATTTCAATCGTCAAAAGATCACGCACGACACGCCATCGCGCTGTGTCTGGAATCTAGAACGGCCCAGTAGATCCGGTCCTGTCCCCATCCAGAGGCGCTGCACCTACAGCTGCGGACCAGACAGCATCTCTTCATCCTACCCAGTATCCCCCTCTCTCCCTCCCCGCTTGCGCCTGTCTCATCCCATCACACACCTGAGCTCATCTAGTCGGGGACCACAGGGGAGGAGGGAGGCTGCTCGTGGCTACGGTAGACGCACCCTCCGCGTGGTGAGGCTGGGCTGAAGCGCCACTGTGTTGGAGGATGCTGCGGGAGTAGAGCGGCTCAGAGCGGAAGATGGGGAAGGACCAGGAACTGCTGCAGGCGGTGAAGACCGAGGACTTGCTCACCGTGCAGAAGCTGCTGCAGAGGCCCCGTCCAGGGAAAGCAAGTAAGGCATTCTATTGTATTCTTTAAAAAATAAATAAATAAAAATAATAGCACACAACTGTGGTATTCCACTGAAAATCTAGTTGTGTGAGACCAATAGTTAAAAGGCCATTTCTCACATACCTTCGCTGGCTGATAAGGCCTAAGTGATTTCTCTGCGTGTACATGTATGTGTGTGTGAGAGACTGAGAGGGAGATGGAGAGATGAAGCCAGAGACAGAGGAGGGGTTGCATGCATCAGGGTGTATTAGAGAAGATTAGTGGTGTGACTGGAGACTGACAGCCCATCTCGAGACCCCTGTGTGAGTGCACTGCAGCAGAGAGAGAGGGAGAGGGTGGGAACCAGAATGTTTCTGTTGTTAGATGAGGGATCTGCGTGAGCCTGTTTCACAAGTGAGGGATGATGCTGGCGGCATTGTGATTGTTAAGGTTCAACATCGCCTTCAGTGATAAACGACATATAGGGATAGAATGCATATGGATGGAAAGAAGCAAAACCTGAGTTCTGTTCTGTTGCATTCTATACTGCTCCCTGTGGTCTGTGTCCTCTTCTAATTGTTTATTTTCTGCAGGTGATGCACTACAACATCCAACAGTGTTTCACTTCCACAGCCCACTTGAATGCATGGGCAATACAAGCCAGCGAGAGCTGCAGATGGATCATTCTGTAGAGGCTGCTATCTGCCGTACTAATATGGGCTATCCACTCATATATCTGGCTTATGCTATCAACAAACTGGGAGGGAGGCTATAAGGGCCAGGAAGCAGGGATTACAGTCTCTGCAGACAGGATTTAAAATAGGAGAGAAAGTGAGTAATTCAGTTTTAAAAGCATCAGTATTTTTAGCTGACTTAGTCTTGATTGCTCCCCTTATTATCCACTTGCTAAAATGGTTCCAGTCAGACTGGTTTACAGCCTCTGACCTGGTGCCCACACTGGCAAGGCTCCAACAGCAAATGTACCTCATTTAAATAAAAGGATACAGTGCTGGTGACAAATAATGGTCCAGAACTGGTGTTCCCAGTTGTTTTGGGTGTTTAGTATTTGGGGTTTGACCTGGTCTGTTTGAAGTTCTCAGTCCTCCTGTGATTTTACTTTTCCAGAATAGGACTAAGGGTGGAAACAACTTGAGAAGAAGGATGAATTAATAATTTCACATCTGTAGGAGAAAATACTCACGAGACACACAGCCAAGATACTACTGTTGTGTAAATTTTGGATTTGTTACTAAGATAAGTGGGTATAGCTACTGGATGGATGAATGGATTAACTCTCGCTTGCTTTAAAATATTTTTGCTTGTTTGAATCTCACAATGTGAAATGGGAGAAATATTTTCTACATTTGCTTGTACTAATTTTTAGGTGTTTAGAAGGCGTCACTGTTGGATTTGTACTTTGTACAAAGCTAACTTGTACACTACTATGCCACAGATGGTATTGCTCACTCCGCAGGACTCGGTAAAGTGCAGCACATGGCCTCAAATCAGTTTGTAGGAATCAGTGGGGTGCCCTGCATGCAGGGAGGGGCTGAAACACAGTCTGCAGGCTACAGTGGAGCAGAGCACACACAGGAAACCCCTCAGATTAAAGACTGCTTAGTGAAAAAATACAGACATCCCTTGACTAAAACAAGTTGGTCAGGTCCAACATATACAGGTAGTGGCCAAAAATAGTGTTTGTGGGACTGAGTGGAGTACGTTATGTACAGGAGCACATCACAGAGCAACCTTTAGGCCACAGTGAAGTGCGCTTCAGCTGGAAGCCCCTCTCAGACTGCTGTTAAGTACATCAAATACAGAGAACAAGTAAGCACTCCAGCAGACTTTTATAAGCCCGTTGCTTTTAGCACATGCACTCTGGTTGAGCATCAACTTAGAGTCGATCCTCAGTGGATTACAATGCATACAGATGGCAACTCAAGCAATTTCAAGCCGACTCTGCAGGTGAAAGAGGCAATAGCCCGACAATACATGCTGTTTATTAGCACAAAGATGGTGCCCTCTGTTTATTGTAAGGTACAGACAGGTGAGAAATAAATGAGTGGTCTCCTACAGGATGACAGTGTCCCCATCCACAGGGCACGAGGGGGTCACTGAATGGTTTAATGAGCATGAAAATCATGTGACTCATGTGCTCTGACCTTCACAGCCACCAGACCTCAAACCAGTTAAACATCTATGGGAAATGTCGGAACGACATCCACCATCATCAAAACACCACCTGAATATCTTTAGGAAGCATGGTGTTCATCCCTCCAGTAGAGTTCAGAGACTTGGAGAGTCGATGCCAAGGTTCACTGAAGCTGTTCTGGTGGCATGTGCTGACACCTCCCCGAGTCACTTCACTCATGCGTTTATGTTCTGATTGTTGAACATAATAGGCTGTATACTACTATACTTTACAGATGCAATAAGATAATCCCAGAAGGATTCATTAATGTGTCTTATTAGGAGCAGTCTAGTCAAAACAAAACCTTGGGGTTGTATTGCAGAGTCTTACTAATGCTATGACAAAATACCAGGGAAGCCTGATACTATAATGTATTGCAGTCCATGTGCCTAGGGCACAGTTACCTTTGTGAGGCGGTGTTGATTCATCTTGATGGAGTTTTACTTGATGCAGCGCACTACCTTATAACATAAGTACACTTACTTAAGTACAAGTGCAACTTACAGTTTTTGTTAACTTGAGTATTTACATTTAAGAGGGAATTATTCTACTTTTTTTTTTTACTCCATTGTATTTGTTGAGTAGCTACAGTTGCTAGTTATTTTACAGATTAAGATTTTACATTAAAAAACATAGCACACTTAGAAAAGACAATGCAATGTTGAATATTAAACCAGTGAGCTGTAACGTTTTCCTTGTGACCCTTTACAGAAAGCCAGTGTGTAACTTGGGCCGCTTTGTCAAGCCAGTGTGTTTGCGTTTTACAGAAGAGCAATTTCTCATTCAAACATTTCAGGTGGTTTCATTTAAATACACATATGAGGCACGACAGTATAAACCCTTCTATTAGTAGGAGTATTTGAGATTGTGGTATTCATTCTAAATGAAGGATCGGAATACTTTTTCCACCACTGCATAAAGGGTGGTCGATCTCTCTGGGTCTTATCATCGGTATGTTCTCTGGGAATTTGGGCGGTTTAACAACAGTGGGGGAGGCGGCATCTTCCAGTAAACAACTTACACATGTTTTGTTTTTTTTCTTCTTGTAAGATGCAATTTTAGACTTAGGCCCACAACATAAGTAAATATCAGATTCGGAATTTCTCCACCAGGTCTCTGTTCATCTTTTTGACTTTCTTTTCGGTGTCTGGATGGAGCTTGAGAATGAGAAGGTGAAAAGTTGTGAATTTCAGCTATAACACTGAATTTCAGCTGGGGGGGCTCTGCTCTAATGTCAGGTACTCCTGTTGATTTAGTTTACTCCCTGTCTACTGTTTAGAGCATCGTGCAGGCAGACATGTTGGATAATCAGTCTTTCATCTGGCACAGAATGACACAGGCTGCCTTCACTCCTCAGTAAACACTTCATTTCTCTACACCACCTCACCAATGACTGACCTGAGCTGTTTTTGTGGGCTTTGCTCTGCCATCTATAACTGACACTTAT